TCTCTCTCTCTCTCTCTCTCTCACTCACTCACTCACTCTCTCTCTCTCGTGAATTTTACTTTTATACATAAACGCGCAACGTAAAACGATAAAAAAATAATTCTCTCCGCTTTTCGATCTTTGTTTTCAATCGTTCGAAACATAAATTTCGTTCGACACGACTTTAACTTAAGGTAGATTGCGTGTTTCATGCTTGGCGGGAATGATAAGTCAAAAGTCATTGCACCGCTCCTTATTCCAGATTTGCACCACGATATCACGACGCGATGGATATTATCCGTTTAAAGAGCGCCTCGAAAAAATAAAATTTCGAAAAGTTCGATCTAATCGAGAATCGAACATTTCCGCTAAGAATTCCTCGATACGCGAGATCTTCCTTCATCATCGATCCCTTTCGAGCAAATCGTCCCTCCCTTTTGGAGCTTACGCTATACGCAAGTATATCCGTGCTTTTCCGATTGCTCGTCCAACTTTCACTCTTCTCTCTCTCTCTCTTTCTCTCTCTATCTTCCTCTCCTCCTTTTTCTCACTCATTCTCCTCTCCCCACTCTTCACTATCCCCACCGAATCAATCGTTTTTTAACTCTCACTCACTCGATTTCTTTCATCCCTTTCTTCTATAACGCGCTCTCTTTCTCTCTCTCTCTCTCTCTGTCTCTTTTTCTTTCTCTCTTTCTCTCACGCATTCGGCGCTTTCGAATGCACCTATATAGTTTCATGCAAGCTAAGACGCAATCACCGTCTCTCGCATTTTTTTTTTTCTGAACTAAGATATTTAGACAAGAATATAACAGCGGTATAAAAAACTTTTCAACACTGAAAAATACAAATCTATCGTAAGTGACTACCATTATTACTCGTTCCCCCAAAATTTTTTCACTCGCTTTCACGTTTTTCAATTCGTCACCGTGTTATTTTTTTTTTTTTTCTTTTTTTTTTTTTGAAATCATTCGTACGCATTACTCGAACGACAGTTGTATACACGTAGTTTATATCACGCGTGAGCCCGTGCAAGCATCGTTCAGCCAGCATCGCGATTATTTTCATCCATCTTCGAGTTGGAGTTTTTTTTTTTTTTTTTTCCCCCATTTTTTCCGACAAGATTCCACGAGTTTTTCATATTTTTTTCCCCTTTCTTTTTCTTTTTTTCTTTTTTTCCTATTTTCATTTCCCTACTGTCGTATCGCGCAATCAACATCTAATTTCATCAGTTTCATTCATTATTCTTTCTCTTCAAGTCCGTCAGAATATATTAAATATTTCGATCGTGTTATTATTAATTATATATTAGTATTTTATATCTATGTATCTATATACCTATGTATATATACATATACATACATGTGTATATACATATACATACACACATATATGTACACATATATGTATATATATAATTGTCATTATATTATATATTATGCTTTATCACACATATTACAAAGGAGGTGAAGAATCATACCTAACATATTATTTGTTATTTTGTTGTTGTTTGTTTGTTTGTTGTTGTTTTGTTGTTGTTGTTGTTCTTGTTGTTGTTGTTGTAATTGTTGTTGTAGTCGTTTACTTTTCTTACAAGGGCGATTTCAAACAATAACTTCACTGCGAATGTAGCTTATCATTATTATTATTATCATCAATCGTCATCGTTATTTATTATTTTTTCTTCTCTCTCTCTCTCTCTTTCTCTCTCTCTCTCTCCCTTTTAAATTCTTAGCGCGCCATCATCGGCGGATGCGTTTTCATCGTGTGTACGCGTGCACGTTCGTACGTATAAAATTTCGCTATGGGCGACTACAATCGCGGTTTCCTTTATCCATACTTTCTCGCGGTTTCCCATCCCACCCCCGCCCTCCCATTAATAAATCGCGGCTTCGTGTATTTCGAACGAACAACGTGCTTCGTCTGCGGACAGTTTCGCTCTTTTTTTCGTTTATTCAATCGAGAAGAAGAAAAAAATTTTCAAAAATTTCACGCGTGTATATATCCACTTCACTTCCGGTAAGCGGAGGAGCGATATGTTCGTTCGTGGCGAATTGTTCAATCGCCGCGCGTGAAATATCTCGAACACGATCGAACAATGTTCCGCGAAATAATTTTCCTACAAATCCACATTTCGAATCGTTGAGAATAATCTTCCGAGAACGATTACGATTCTCATCGACACAA